ATGAGGAGCTGATGCCAGGGGCTTAGGTGGAGAGCAAATGTTTTGGGAATGATGAGGGCAACGAATGTACAAATGAGCTTTATACAATTGATGTATGGATTGTGATAAGAGTTGTATGAGTCCCCAATAAAATGATTAAAAAAAGGATCTCAGAAAGGAGCACTAAAGAGAAATATAATCTGACAAAGGTAAGAATTGAAAATAGGAAAATTATATATGATGGAAATGTTTTAAAATAAAACCATTTGAGTGGAAATGAATTGCTGGAAAGAAACAAAAGACTGGGAAAAGATACAAGACAACAAAAAACCCCAAATCTGAATATATGAATTTTTTTTCCCTTTTTTTTTTTTTTAACTCAACTACCATCAAGTCAATACTGACTCATACAGTGACCCTACAGGACAGGGTAGAATTGCCCTTGTGAGTTACCAACACTAACTGCTTACAGGAGTACAAAGCTGTCTCTCAACAACTCCATATAGCGAAGGATACTATGAATGATTTTATTTATCTAACTTTAGCTTTTTAACATTATGTAAGCTTTTAAACTTTATGTGAAGTTAAAAGGCAAACTCGAAAATGGAGAAAATATTTGCAGCTTGTTTGGGGCAAGGGATTGATTTCTTTCATTTTAAAGGGCTCATGCTACTCCAGAAGAAACAAGCTAACACTCAAAAAGAAATTAAGGAAAGTTCACAGAATTACAGGTAGCAGTCAAATGCACAAATGTATTGCACCTCATAAAGACATAGAAATTAAAATGAAATTATTTAAAGCTCAAATCCTGTCACAAGTCAAGAATGTGAGGAAAGTTATCTCCATGGAGGCAGCTGAGCACACTGGGAGGATTCAGTGAGCGAGCGTGGTCTAGATGCAGCCTGGAGCAAAGCATGTGCCCAGTAGTGCCAGCGCTGCTGTTAGACTGCACTGGTGTTGGCACGAATCGTCTCCTTGGAGAGCCACTCCAGGAACGGATGGAACAATGGCAGGATGCAGATGCATTTGGACCACGTGTCGCGGTGCTTTTAGGAGCCGTCAGGTCAGTTCCAACTCACCGTGCTCCTGGGGACAACAGCATGAGAGACTGCACCATCCCCACCATCTCTGTCCTTGTGAGCCCACTGTTCAGTCACTGTGCTCCTCTGTCATTGAGGACGTCGTCTTCTCCCTGACCCTCAACTTCCCACGCTTGAAGCCCTTTTCCAGGGACTGGTTTCTCCTGGGAGTGTGCCCAAAGTCTGTGACAGTCATGGCAACCTTGCTTCTAAGGACATTCCGGATGCATTTTTTTTAAGGTATATCCACGTATATATTTGCATAGCTAAACATAAAACACATACACGTATCAGGCATCCTTGTGATACAGTGGTTAAAGCGCTTCGCTACTAATAGAAGGTCAAGTGTTCTACTGTATCAGCTGCCCCACAGGACGATGATATGGGAGAAAGATGTGGCAATCTGCTTGCATCAAGATTTACAACCCTGGACTTTTGCCGCTTGCTTCAGTTTGGACCCTGCGCGGCCATGCTGTAGCCCAAATCCGGATTTGCTTTTCTCTAACCTTTGCCT